TGAAAAACCCATGAAGATAAACAAAGCCAGGAGACTGTGGGTCTCCTTATAAATTCAATGTCTTCATTTATTTATAGGACCTACTGATTCTTATAAAAGATAGATAAAAGTATGGATGCTTTATTATGGATCTCTTAACAGCATTTCCCCAAAGTGGTACATAAATAGTGATACCAAAGAGCAACAGGTAGGTTGATTATTGCTCAAAGTGGCAAAATTTAGTACTTATGGGCTTCCCTGGTGGGTCAGTGATTGACAGTCTGCCTGCCGATGCAGGCAACACGGGTTCGTGCCCCGGTCCGGGAACATCCCCGTGCCGCGGAGCGGCTGGGCGCGTGAGCCATGGCCGCTGAGCCTGCTCGTCCGGAGCCAGTGCTCTGCAACGGGAGAGGCCACAACAGTGAGAGGCCCGCATACCGCAAAAAAAAAAAAAAAAAATTTAGTACTATGACTCAGCCCATTGCAGATCATAAATGGGCATGTGGTACCAGAAGTAGAATAAAAAATACAGTCAAGTTACTGTGATAAAGCTTTCAATTATTCATGCTAATGGCAGGAGTGATAAAAAGAGCCAAATGAAACTATAAATAGCCCTTACATTTTATCTAAGCCAGCATTCCAACATCTCTCGCACAAATAACTTTAGCAGTTTAGCGAAGTTCAAATTAAAATGATTTGAATGTTTGTTTCCTTTCCTGGTAGAGAATAGGGCATAGTAAAAATAACACCAGTATAGTATCACATTAAAAAAAATCAAAAGTGAATAAAAAGAGAAGTAGAAGACATAAATTAACCACATTTTGGATTATTATGAGTTCCTCAAGTAACAGTTCTAATAGCCTCTCGTCGCTGTTGAGTTTAGCCAGGGAAAATCATGGAAAAAGTCTAGAACTCTACTAGGATGTTCGAAAATGTCCTTCTGCTATTCTTTAAAAAAAAGTCTTTGATTTGAAATCTAACATATTTGAAAATCAAACTAAATTGAAGTATTAAAACAGTCATGAATAAATGCTAATGATTCTCTTCTGTTGTTTTAAGAAATAGAAATTAATCAAATCTGACCTGAGGTAAATTCATCAAAATATATTCCTAAAGTTAACAGCAAATTATAATTATATAAAAACCTCCAAGCTGGCCTATTTCTACAGTGCTGTAAGCCTCTGCACAAGTGTGCTATATATTCGGCCTACTTGACTTTTTCCCTATTTGTTTCCCCACCTCCCTCCCCTCACAACCAAAATTACCACACGTAGGCCTACCTACTTTCCATGCGCATGGAGTCCATTTAAAACAAATCTTGTTTTTAGACACAGTGCGATAAAGGAGTATATATGAGGGGAGTGGCTTCAAGATGAATCTAATACTTTAAAGGAGGTTGACCAGGTGGGAATAAGAGCTGCTCGGTGTATGCAGTAAACTTTTGACTGTCTTGTTCTTAGTTTTCTTAAGTGAACCACTTAGTCCTTACTTGGAAATCCTTTGTAAATGTATAATCACTTCTAATTTTGCTTCAAGGCTGGTGTGTGGCACAGTGAATGAGCTTAACCAAATTCACATTTAACATCAATAACTCATCTTATTGGGCTCTTGGAAATGACAGCACTTCTAAATGTCTCTCAAAAAACTCTCATTAATGCCTTGTGTGTACCTTTCTTTCTTTTTAGTGCCCAGTCGATCTTGCCTCCCTAAATTACTCATTCCCCATCCACACAACAGGTATGAGGAAGGATAAGTGATCAAATTATGACTCAGGGTAGCAATTTCCAGACACTTTGTTTCTGTTTAACGTTTAGATCTTTCTGTTCATTAAAAAAAAAAAATACAGTGCTTTTTAGACCTTTCTCAACTATTATATGAGATCAAATCCCTTTCTTCCTTGGCTATTGTGAATATATTGAATCTGCAGTGTTTAATTTAATCTGGAAAAGATTTTTGACATCTAACTTTCTATTTTTGTTTTAGCAAGTATTAAAAAAATTTTTTTGCTATTCTAATTAATATAGGATTCAACCTTCTGTTACCAACACTAATTATTCATATATATATATATATATATATATATATATAAAATCACTTATACCTATCTTTTCCAAAAAAGTGAATTAATCTTGAGAAAATTAAGAAAATATCAGATCAGGAAAATGAACTGTAACCAGAAGTGAGTGAGTGTTTGCACAAACTCGAAACCCCAGAGTCCTGTACAATTATGCTGTGAACCTTCTAGAAGTTATATGAGAATGGGAAACATGAACAGTTATAATATAAACTGTCCATAAGTTAAAACAGATCAGTGTTATATGAGCATGGTTTTTCAGAGAAGTGAGGGGCTCTAGGACCAAGTGGAGTGGTCACTGGGTGGAGGGATATTTACAGTTTCCCAGAGGGAGGAATATCTGGATTTTATAAATTAGTTCTGATGTGATGGGTCCACAGATGCCTTTTAAGAAACCACTGAGCTAAAACAAGACTCCCAATGTCTGGCCGTTTTTTTTTCAGGTTGGTTAGTGGTTAAGAAGACCTAACTCTGAAACTGTCCAGCAGGATTCTTAGCAGTGGTCTAATTCCTATGGATTCTTTTCCACTGAAGACTTTAAACCGTGGGACCCAAAGAGACAGAGAAGCAGACTTGTACAAAATGAGCTGTGTATGAAAGTTCTTTAGGCATTATTCATTCTGCTCTTAGTTCTAGTAATATAGTTAAAGCTAGAGCTTTAAGTCAAAAGAATTTTATAATGTGTGAGAAAATTGTTACTGTGTTATTCGTGGGAACCTCTACCATAAGACTATAGCTGTCGAAGCAATACTGTAACAAATGTTGGCCGGACATTGCCAAGTAGGAAGGAGTACAAAAATACTGCATTCTGCCAGGTAGATCAGTGTGAATTCTTGCGATTCTTCTTTCTTCTTTGGGTGTGATATTGATTAAAACCCCAAAGTTCTCTCCTCAGCCCCCCAGAGGGAGAAAATCTGAAACAAATGTTTTCTCCATTTAGAAAACAAAAATGAAAAAATATTATCCTACATGGACCTTGACTGGTTTCTGTAATAGATGATGGAATGTTGTGCTTCAGTGTAATCTAATAAGCCCTACCTACATTTAAATGATAAGAAAGAAACATAATGCAAATAATACCAATAATAACAGGTAGTATTTACTGAGATTTGCTCTATGCCAGCACTGTGCTAAGCATTGCATCTGCTTTATCTCCTTTCATTTTATAAACTACACAATAAGATAGGTACTTTGCTTTTATCATTTTATTAATGAAGAAACTGAGGCATAGAAAAATTAACATCTTGCCCAGGGACACAAGGCTAGTAAGGAACTGATAAGAGAACCAGAACTTAACTCCTGGTCTGACTTCAAATGATGTATAAATGTCTTAATTATGTTGTATTCTGAGCCTATCTTTCGTTCTTGGGTGGCGGATGAAATTTCTGGAGGAATAGGCTTGCCATTGAGAGAAACGGCTGGGTGGGGATGTCATGGGAGGAGCAACTGAAGCTTAAAAAAATAAGAATTTCCTGGGTTGGTTTTGATGTACCTATCAAGAGAAAGTTTCCCTTCCTGAAGTCAAGAAGTAAGGCATGAAAAAGCTAGACTTTTTAGTGGTCATACCTGCATAAAAGTATTTCCAAACTTTTAGGATTTTTGGATACATTCATTCCTAAATAGCTTCTTAACACACAGAGGAGGAACAGATACACAGTTCAAGAACAGTGAGTAGATTTTGTCTGAAATTTTACCCTAATTACTGCAGCATTCTCTCTCCATTGATACCACTCAGATGAAATAGTTTTCAGGGTAGAACAGTGCCCTCTGAAGGATTGATCTCGCATCAGTGGTACATGAATTCAGCTTTTTAAAAAGTTTTTTAATATATAAGATTTTATCTCAACAGGTGTTTGAACAACCCTATAATTTTATAAATATTATTGCTTAGGTAAAACTGGATTGACTTTTAAAAAGGAGGGAGTAAATGTAAAGCTAAAACTCCGAAAAGTTAAATATTACAGGAAGCACATAGCTAAAGTGATAATTATGGAGTCAGTGCATGAAGGCCTGACATTTGGACAAACTTGGTAGCATTAGTTCCTTACCATCACTAGCTACTGCCAAGCATTAGGTTTTCCTTCTGTAGAAGGAAGGAGGAATAATAGAAGGGTAGGATTAAGTGTAGAATAGATTGTGTTGCCTTTTTATTTCTTCCCCCATTATGTTAGGTGATGGAATTTTTAGTGTACATAGCTATGACTTTTTTAAAAATGCATTTTTTTCCATTTCCTTCATGAATAGCATTTCCTTACTTTCAGGCAACAGTGTATACCCAGTGCACGCTGTTTACTTAGCTTTTTCCTTCTTTAGCCTTTCATTTTCCAAATCCTTTGTGGAGCATCAGCAGTCCCAGTGTCTCTTTCTTTTTCCTCAACACTTATAGTTTGGTTTCCTTACAGTCCATGTTGCAGGGCTGGGAAGCAGATGAAACAGTCTTGCCCAAGTCAGATAAGATGTTTAAAAATAAAAGATGCCATGAGTTGCAATTAAATAATGCTCTAGGATCAAAGTAATTTCCCTTTGCATAATAGCTGCCTTACTCAGATGAGAATTCCCGAGTATGAAGTGTGCTGTATAAAATGTACATACTCAATTTTTCTTTCAAATTCAAAATGACTTTAATATTGGAATTACCAGAGTTTTCTAATATTGCATTTGGAATAATTTCACATGTTGCCATTTTTATCTCTGTCTTTTTTTGGTGTTTTCTTTTAGTCTCATCTCTAATCTTATCAGTGATTAATTTAGGAAAGGATATGGATTTCTTAACTTACATATTTTATTGCATTTCTTGCACTGCATCTTGAGGATGACTTTGTTTTAGTTGGTAGCTGCTTTGCATTTTTGAAAATGAGCCTGGCCCTCCTCATCTCATCTTGGAAATGCAACAAATGAAATGAAGCATGACAGAGAATCGAAATGATGTGTTTTTCCTTCTTTTTAGATGGTAAGGTTGAAGTTACAAAAGAAGGTGTGAAGCTGTGCACGATGGGTCCAGGAAAAGTATTCGGGGAGTTGGCTATTCTTTACAACTGTACGCGGACGGCGACCGTCAAGAGTAAGGCTGTTCTTTCTTCTTTTTATTTTTTCAGATACTTTCAATGTCTTTTCCGTGGACCTGCGAGGTGTTAACATGCCTCTCGATTTTAATCTTTGTAAAGATTAAAATAATCTATATTCTAATTATTGCTTTGCAGTACAGTTGATATTTTCCTCCTAAAGGATGATTGTTAACATTGAGCTAAATTTTATTGCTGACTTATGAAAAGTATCCTTTAACCTAGAACTCATTAAATTAGGATTTACAAAATGATATAATTTTATAAATTAGAATTAAACAGAAGCAAGACTTTTCATTTTTCTGCCTTTAAAGCCTGAGAATCATATTTAAGAAAATTTTACGTTATCTGTCTATTTTGGGTTGCATTCCCCACATAAATTTCACTTATTCATTCAGTAGTTTAGAAAGATTGAGGAGAAATGTCCTTCGTCTCATTCAAACACTGAGTAAGATATCCTGAATTCTAGAACTGCGTCTGAGTATATTCTTGTCCTCAGCTGCTCATCAAGCTGTATATTACAGCGTTTTTCTTTTCTACTGATTGAGCTTATTTTAAATCAAGGCGTTAAAGCAGCTTGTTTCCCTAATTTTACATGTATGTGTATATATGATTTCTCTAGCAACTTTTATTGCTTGGTAGACGCAGCTGCAGTAGTTAGAAGGGAAAGAAGTTTGTTTTAAATATTCCTTCTTCCTGAGTACAGGATGTAATGAGTGTGTAACAAACAGAGCTGAATGCCAAAGCCAACAGTGGAAAGTCCATTGCATCTTCAGGCAGACGTGTATATTTCATGTTTGAAAAGTTCTTCTGACACATCCTGTGGATGATTGCAGTCACAAGTTACTTTGATTAGGTTGTGTCATTAAAACAATCCTGTTGGCAAAATGACAGATTGTTAATGTTAATTAATCTTGTCTGGGTGTCACTGACTGTTTTATAGATTGCTTTTTTTTTTTCTTCTCAGAAGTATGGCATATGATTGACAATGTGATATTAAAACTTGGCTTGTAAAGAACTCAAGAATGCATGGCCAGCTAGAGTCACAGAAATTCTTATAGGTCTTGTTAGTGAGTCACCTTTTTAGTCACTGAAATCACTGTAACATCAATGGCAGTTGGGGCCCTTATTAGATGAGTCTTTCTTGGCATTTGATTCTTGACCTCTGAGAACACAACTCTTTTGGTTGATAGGCACTGCCATGTTTTTATTCCATGTGATTATTTAATTATATGACTCAAAGAATAATGAAGCCCGATGACCCATAAAAGATTCTGCCAGAACTTTAACTTACTTAAAAAGTACATTAACTAGAAAAAAGAGCAGTGATGACTCCATTAAGTAAACAGATTTTACTATCGTGCTTCATTTTCATGAGAAATATATTACTTTTAGGGCAAAAAGGAGCCATAATAGCACATTTGGATTAAAACAGGCTTTCTCTGTATTATGAATAATTTTTTAAGGTTTTAAAATATTTCAATTATAAAAATATTTCAGCCTTGTGTACTGCTCATTTAATCTAACTGAAACTACAAATTTTCCAAAGGCCAGCAATTGATAGTAACATGGTGCTTACTATTTTGGAATATTGAATTATTATTAAAGAAATACTTTAAATAAAGTGAATTGAATATTTAAATTAATTATATAGCAAAAGATTTTTTGTAAGATGATTGCTTGGCTTCATGAAAGTCAATTTTCTTATTAGGTTCTTATAAAATGCTGTTCATTTGCACTAGCCTCTGTTCTCATGCTTGGTAAATTTAAATAGACATTATGCATCTGACTGAACAAGAAGGAACTGGCTGTTGAATGCAAATTATGATCCTAACTGTTTTGGGGTCAGAACATCCATCATTAAAGGGAATGAGTGATGGAGCATGTTCTTTAACACAGACTCAGATGTCTCATGAGTGTGTATGTGGTTGTGTGTGTTTATCGTGCTCAAAGATGTGGCGGTTGTATTCAGAAAAGAGTCTGTGGTTGATGGTGTACAAATACATCTCTGCATGTTTAGATGCAGAGGTTTTGTGCATGTGTAAGGAATAATATGTATTAACAACTTCTGAATGTTGTGTAAGAGCTATAAGGTGTGAATAATGGTCATTTGTTTTTCAGAAACTTTTGTGCTGTCTTCTATACATTCCAGGGAGATTGTACTTATGATTGATGATTATAGTTCTTAAATAGTATTTTAAATTTGTTTAAATTATACTCTCAGGCTGATCGCTTTATAATTTATAATTCTGATTAGATTCCATCATGGCTGTTAGTTTTACCAAATGACTACAGCGATGCTATCTTACTCTTAACATGTGATATTTTAAAATGTCCTTAGTTGGCTTTTTAGATCCAGTCGTTTCTCAGAATTCAGGATTGTGTTGAGTCTTGTCTATTTTTTCTTAACCATTATTTTGCCAGTGATGACCACTTGGAGTATCTTTCAAAACGCATTCATCTACTTGGGTGTAATAGTCTAAGTCTGAGGAAATTGCCCTTCCTACTCAATAGCTTGTCTATCCACACCTTTTTTCTTTCTCACTTACCTGGCTTGTGACTCCTTTTCCCCCAACAATACCCACTTTCTTTCATGATTGAAAGTGTTGATCCCCCTTTTCTTTCTCCCTAGATTAGCCTGAAAGCTGCCTAGCATTTTAATGCATTTTTAATTGCACAGTCATCACTGAATCCTAGGTGACATTCAAGAGCTCCTCAATGTACCTGAGTCATTTCTTGTTCACAAGAGCACTTTTTGAAACTGTATCAGGCCTTAAATAAATACATTCCAGTGACTTCCTCTGATAACGAATGTGAACCTAACACCTGTGGGTAGTCTTTTTTTTAAATAGGATATAAAAAATAGTTGTCTTATTTTTATATATTGAGGTATAATTGACATATAGCATTGTATTAGTTTCAGATATGCATGATTCAATATTTGAATATATTGCAAAATGGTCACCACAATAAGTCTAGCTGATATCCATCACCATACATAGTTACAAAATTTCTTTTCTTGCGATTAGACCTTTTGAGATCTACTTCCTTAGAAACTTTTAAATATGTAACACAGTATTATTAACTCTAGCTACCATGAGTACATTATATCCCCAGGACTTAAATGTAACACAGTATTATTAACTCTAGCTACCATGAGTACATTACATCCCCAGGACTTATTTATTTTATAACTGGAAGTTTGAGCAATTTGACCCCCTTCACTCAATTCTACCCACCCCTCACTGCCCCTCTCCCCCCAAAACCTCTGGCAATCACCAATCTGTTCTCTCTATTTAAGAGCCAGAACTCTTTTTTTTTTTTAAGATTCCACATATAAGTGAGATCACAATGGTATTTGTCTTTCTCTCTCTGACTTATTTCACTTAGCATAATGCCCTCAGTGTCCATCCATGTTGTTACTAGTGGCAGCATTTCCTTCTTCTTAATGGTTTAATAGTATTCCATTGTGTATATATACACCACATTTCCATTACTAATTCATTCATTGATATACCTGTCATTTCCATATATTGGTTATTGTAGTTAATGCTGAAATGAACATATGGGTACATGTATCTTTAAGAGTTAGTGTTTTTCAGAAAAATAGATCAGTGGAATAGGATAGAAAGCCCAGAGATAAACCTACGCACATATGGTCCCCTTATTTTTGATAAAGGAGGCAAGAATATACAATGGAGAAAAGACAACCACTTAATAAGTGGTATAGAAAGCCCAGAGATAAACCTACGCACATATGGTCACCTTATTTTTGATAAAGGAGGCAAGAATATACAATGGAGAAAAGACAACCACTTCAATAAGTGGTGCTGGGAAAACTGGACAGCTACATGTAAAAGAATGAAATTAGAACACTCCCTAACACCATACACAAAAATAAGCTCAAAATGGATTAAAGACCTAAATGTAAGGCCAGACACTATAAAACACTTAGAGGAAAACATAGGCAGAACTCTATGACATAAATCACAGCAAGATCCTTTTTGACCCACCTCCTGGAGAAATGGAAATAAAAACAAAAATAAACAAATGGGACCTAATGAAACTTAAAAGCTTTTGCACAGCAAAGGAAAACATAAGACAAAAGGCAACCGTCAGAATGGGAGAAAATATTTGCAAGAGAAGCAACTGACAAAGGATTAATCTCCAAAATTTACAAGCAGCTCATGCAGCTCAATATCAAAAAAACAACCCAATCCGAAAATGGGCAGAAGACCTAAATAGACATTTCTCCAGAGAAGATATACAGATTGCCAACAAACACATGAAAGGATGCTCAACATCATTAATCATTAGAGAAATGCAAATCAAAACTACAATGAGGTATCACCTCACACCAGTCAGAATGGTCATCATCAAAAAATCTACAAACAATAAATGCTGGAGAGGGTGTGGAGCAAAGGGAACCCTCTTGCACTGTTGGTGGGAATGTAAATTGATACAGCCACTCTGGAGAACAGTATGGAGGTTCCTTAAAATACTAAAAATAGAACTACCATATGACCCAGCAATCCCCCTACTGGGCAAATACCCTGAGAAAACCATAATTCAAAAATAATCATCTACCACAATGTTCATTGCAGCTCTATTTACAATAGCCAGGACGTGGAAGCAACCTAAGTGTTCATTGACAGATGAATGGATAAAGAAGATGTGGCACGTATATACAATGGAATATTACTCATCCATAAAAAGAAACGAAATTGAGTTATTTGTAGTGAGGTGGATGGACCTAGAGTCTGTCATACAGAGTGAAGTAAGTCAGAAAGAGAAAAACAAGTATCGTATGCTAACACATATATATGGAATCTAAAAAAAAAAATGGTTCTGAAGAATGTAGGGGCAGGACAGGAATAAAGACGCAGTTGTAGAGAATGGACTTGAGGATATGGGGAGGGCGAAAGGGTAAGCTGAGACAAAGCGAGAGAGTGGCATGGACTTAATGCACTACCAAACGTAAAATAGATAGCTAGTGGGA